CCCCTTCTACACCTGTGTCAGACGGTGGTTTGCATCAACTCCCTGCTCACTCCTCCTCCTACAGGTTTAACTTCATTTGAGAAGAAGGTCCTGCCTGCTTTCTTAAGCCATTGTTCAGTGGGCTCTTGTGTTCCGTCGCCTCCTTAAGTCATTAAAGAGGAACTCTGGGATGTAAGCGATGACCTTTGGCGTCTGTCTGCCCCCTCCAGCAGCCCTGCTCCTCCCTGGCCAATCACAATTCGCAGGGATATTAGTGACAAACATGGCCAGCATTAACTTTACATGCACTACCCCGAAATCTCTTCAGAGGTGATGCAGGCTGCTTGCTAACTGTCATTGGGGGGGGGGGTTGTACATAATTTCCTGTAAAGTGCTCATACTTCAGCCTCTGTCTCTAGAACCTCCAATCCTCAGCTATAAACAGACTGATGGGTCTTTAGCTGCAATCTAAGCGAAACATTCTTGCAACAAAGGTCACAGCATATCTAAAATCCTGCTGAGCTCCCCCATACGATTTCAAAGCACATGCTGCCACTGTTCCAGAACTATCCGGGGTTCTGCACTGCGTTCAAGTGCAAGGCCGCCCCCCCCCCCCCCAGCAGAACCCTCACAACTGAAAAATACTGAACAGATCTCTCCAGTGAGGGGATGGTTCTGCAGAAGGCTATGTTTCCTCTCCTGCAGGAACGGCTGGGCCCTAATGCCTATGCACATCCAGCCCTGTGTACCGTGATTTCACTGCTGGCCAGGAAATTCATCGCTCCAGAGTGATATCGATTTTTCGTCTCCCTGTGATGTTCCCCTCGGTGGAACTTCATCGGAACGCATCACAGTGATAGCATCATACGAAATGACGTTTGGGTTTTCTTAGGTCCCAGCTTACAAACGCAGGAAAATAACACGAGGTGTGATTCTGACTGGTTTAAACCCGGAGGCTGGAGATGCTGCAGGCTCAGAGTGCCCCCCGCCCACGTAGGAGGAAGCCCCCCTCCCACGGAGAAGCAGACGGCAGCAACGCCTTCACCTGTGTAGAGATGCAGTTAGGATTGCCGTGCAGCTGAATGAAAGGAGGTGGAAATCACACCAAAAGGCGTGTATGTGGATCCGAGAGTACTCATGAACTACCTTAGTTGTACGACTTTTATGATGAGATAGCGGCATGCAAGTGTATTCAGTAGCCCATAAGTCACCCCCTAGCACCTGGCAAACTCTGAGTGCCACTGCGGGGGGTCCCGGGGGCACCAGAGGCGGGCAGCTCTGCCAGACACGCTACCGCACATGGCGGCGAAACGGTCGCACGGGAAGGCGACGCCGAGTCAGTCGCAGCACGGACCTGCGGAAAGGTACTGCGGCGTCTTTCATCAAGGCACAAAGAGCTCCATTATCTGTAGACATCTCCAGTGGCAAATATCCTTTAATGAACCCTGAAAGCCAATCCAGAAGCAAGCATCCCCCAGCCCTCAATAAACAGACACAAAGTAATATGTGTGTGACTGTATGGAGTCAGATTAGCAGATGTAATAACACACATCTATGTTTGAAGAAGGGAATCTTCCATGTCAGCTGCTTCTGACACAGGGTAAATAAGAAACCTACAGCCTGTCCTCTGTATAATATCAGACTGATATTTGAAGAAGGTATATTTATGAAGATGAAATATATTTAATCTAAATAAATGGCTTGTATAGCTATATACATCTTTTGTTCCTCTGTCACTGGATGACTTAGCTAGGTATCACATAGAGCAGCCTGCTGTGACTTCAGCATATTTCTTTAGAAGGCTGTGTGATCAGGGGAGGTTATTACTGCTTATCAGCTAAGCTATTATTTATTAGGAAAAGCTTTTAAAGCAACTTAATGTTGAAAAGCTATGTTTTCAATGATGCTTTGAGTCACGGCGCTAACAAGCAGGAAGGTATTTACTTTTAATAGATTGCTGTAAAAAAAAATGCGCAGTAATGGAGCAAAAACATAACGAGACAAGATAAGGCAGCGAGGAGCACGCGTTTCCTACGGTAATCACAGGTTTACAGCCGCGCGGTTAATGCTTGTGTCGGCCGCGGGTCGTTTTCTCGCTGTTGCTGTATAAAACGGAAGCTCTGCTCTGTGCTCTGGACTGGGTCCATCTCTTTGGGGTCCAGGCCATTTCTCCGCAGTGTGCCAGATGCTGTCGGTGTCTCGGTCACCCACGATGTTTCATCCCCGTTTTGTAAGGTGCGCCTCCCTGTGTCGTCTTCGGCGACGGGATCGCTGTGAAGGACACTGACCTTTTTGCTCGTCCTCAATGGCTGGTCTGTCAGACCGGGATAATGGCAGCAGAGGCCACAGATGTTGAAGAGAATCACATCCCTCGATCCATCTTCCAGGAAGACAGACTGAGATCCATCTCAGGCAGCACAGGGTTGGGGTAGTCTGGATGGCAGGCCCGTCCCTCACAGGCCAGTCCCTCACAGGCCCGTCCTTCACAGGCCAGTCCCTCACAGGCCCGTCCCTCACAGCCCAGTCCCTCACAGGCCAGTCCCTCACAGGCCAGTCCCTCACAGGCCAGTCCCTCACAGGCCCGTCCCTCACAGGCCCGTCCCTTTGTTTGCATTTATCCATTTGCAGACCTACATAAGAACATAAGAACTATACAAAGGAGAGGAGGCCATTTGGCCCATGAAGCTCGTTTGGGGAGAACTCAACTAATAGCTCAGAGTTGTTAAAATCTTATCTAACTCTGATTTAAAGGAACCCGGGGTTTTATCTTGCACTACATGAACTGGAAGACTATTCCATACTCTAACTACACGCTGTGTAAAGAAGTGCTTCCTCAAATTCATTTTAAAATGTTCTCCCGCTAATTTCCACCCATGGCCACGAGTTCTAATATTTAAACTAATATTGAAGTAGCCATTTGGCTGGAACAGCATCCAGACCTGTTAGAATCTTATATACCTGGATCATGTCCCTCCTTTGCTTTAGGCTGAACAGATTCAGCTCAGCTAACATCTCATCATAAGACATTCCTCTAAGACCAGGAGTCATTCTCGTAGCCCTACGTTGCTCCCTTTCCAAGGCAGCAATGTCCTTTTTAAGGTATGGTGACCGAACCTGTACACAGTATTCTAGGTGGGGTCTTACCCACGAATAGAATAATCTTAGCATCACCTCCCTTGACTTAAACTCCACACACCTAGAGATGTAACCCAACATCCTATTGGTCTTTTTAATTGCTTCCCCACACTGGTGAGAGAGACATGGAAGCATCAACATACACACCGAGATCTTTCTCATAATCAGCTACCTTTATTTCAGTGGAACCCATTAAATATCAGTACTTTCTGCTCCCTGCATGGATTACCTTACATTTATCTACGTTAAATTTCATCTGCCAGGTATCAGCCCAGTCGCTAATTAAATCACGATCTCGTTGTAGCCTCTGTGCTGCTAGTTCGGTATCTGCTACACCACCCACCTTGGTGTCGTCTGCAAATTTAACCAGTTTACAGTATGTATGTACATCATTAATGTAAATTAGGAACAATAGTGGTCCTAAAATTGAACCTTGCGGTACCCCACTATGAACGCAGGCCCACTGTGATATTGTGCCTCTAATAACTACTCACTGCTTCCTGTCTGTTAATCAGTTTTCGATCCAAGCTGCTACAGTTCCTAAAATCCCTGCAGCTTTGAGCTTTAGCAGGAGCCGTTTGTGGGGGGCAACATCAAAGGCCTTCTGGAAATCTAAGTAGATCACATCGTAGACCTTTTTGCGATCACCTGATGTCAAGCTCTGAAATACTGGAAAGGAAACTGATCAGGGGCTATTTTTAATATTAGGCCACAGTGACATTGGTCATGAGCAGCCTCACTGCAGGTGTGAGGGTCAGGCCAATGCAAGGTTGAGCTCCTCGTGGCCCAAATGTAGACCAGCTCCTCCACCTGCCCCTTCACCCTCTGGGAACTAGGAGCTGGTGCTTGCAGTTATCCATGGCCTGGCTACAATGTGGTTTTGTGTTCTGGGTCAGCAGAGAAAAGCCAGCCAGAATAGCTTAGACCTTTTTCATTATCATTTCCTTGCAATCCATACTAGGCCATGTACACTTACACAGCATGCCCCTCTACTGTGCCGGCCTAGTACACTTAAATGGACGGACCACTCAGGGTAGCTCAAAAACTGCTGCCCCATAATCCCCTATGTCATTGTTTCGATACACTAACCTTCTCAACCGATGTATTATGGGTAGGTCTAAAAGAGCAGCAACTCTTCTGTGAGTTTGAATAAAAAGTAGGGGCTGGGTGAGGGGGGTTGGCAACTTTAAAATTTGAGGAATCTTTTAAAGTCATGTTTGCTAAAGTACCCTTTCTCCAGGTCCAGGAGAGGTCCACTCATATCGTTCTAAGGCAAAGGATTCTGGGATACCATCTGTGCTTTTAATTGATTTTGCCCTCAAGCTAGATAAAAAAAACTGAAAATGTGTACCATCTGAAGGAGGAAGCAAGCTGTTTCACGTACAAGAAGGAGACCCATAACCTCTGTCTTTCCAGATTGCCTGTGGTTAACTATCGGCAAACATAAATTTTTCATTTAATCCAGTACTGGGTAGCCTGCACAGATTAACGTACAGAAAAGCTAGGATATCCATGTTTTCTTTGTTTGTCTTTGTTTTGTTTCCCTCTGTTGGGTCTTGGAAATCCACCAGAGAAGGCTTAGCCATTTCCCCTCTGAATCAGAGGTTTTAAAGGTGCAGATATTTCTCATGCACCCGCCCCCGGAATGAATTAAGATGTAAATAATCGCTGCCATTGTTTATGCACAGCTGGAACAAATCGATACCCTCGTTAGGGCTGTAAGAGTCTTTAATATCTCTGGCTTTCATGCTTCCAGAAGGGTGTGTGGTTTCCTGTCTGCTGTGAACATAAAAGCCACCAGGGCAGGAGAGCAACGGCCGCGGTGATGGCCGATATACGGGCCCCCGGCGAATGTTCGTACCACGTTTCTCGTCTGTCATCCGCAGATATCGACGACTGCCAGTCAAATCCGTGTCAGAACGGAGGCACCTGCATCGACGAGATTGACTCCTTCGTCTGCTTGTGCCTGCCCAGCTACGGAGGGGCCACATGTGAGAAAGGTAAGCAGGGGGTGAGAGTCGCCCGCGGGCACATTCTATTTATATGGCAGACACTTTTATCCAAAGCGACATATATTGTTTTTGGAGAAATCGGGGTCTGGAGCAACTGGGAGTTAAAGGCATTCAGGGGAGACAAAAGGGTGGGGCAGTTTGAATGATTCCAAGAGCCCCTGAGTGACAGAGGCACGTGTAGCCAAACCCTTCATTATGTTATAATGAATAATAAAGTGTTTTTGATTAGATATATTAGCTATAACTCCTTTAACAGTCCTACTACATCTCGGTGATAAAATGGCTTGCACTCACTACGTCAGTTTAATTTAGTCCCGCCTTGAAAGTTGGCTGAGCCAATGAATACAAGTGTGGGTGGGGTTACATATGTTGCCCCGCCCCATGTGTGGCCTGGCCCCATTCCCCAGACTGCAGCTGGGTGCACTTGGCTTGTTTGCAGCTCATGTCCCCCCAGCCTGACCGGTGAAGCTACGGGTCCGGCCCCCATTTTTCTCCATGGCCGTCTGTCGCACTTCCTGTTCCCTCAGCCCAGTCTGACCCGCGAGGTCATCTCTCCCGCACCATGGTGACAGGATAAGGTGACAATGACAAATGCTCCACCACCAAAACGGGGCAGACTGCAATATGAAGGAGGTGATCTTTGGGGTACATCCTCCAATGCGAGGCTTCACCTGCCTTCAGCGAATCTTCTGTGTCTGCTGACATGCTTGCAAATGCCGGGAATTAAATATTGGTTTGAGTGAACGAATGGCTGCATATTTATAGTTGGAAAGGTTGTATGAAAATTATCCAAATATATTACATGGCCAAAAGTATGGAGGTACCCTTGTTAATGGAATTGCCTAATTAAGCTACACCCATTGCTGACTTAGTTGTAAAAATAAGCACATAGTCACAGGATCTCCTGCAGCAGTCATGAGCAGCAGAGAGTCGTTGTACAGAGAAGGTTAGTGATGTTCCACTTGGCCACATCACAGGAGGCCATCTACCCAACGTGTCATTTCACCACATTTCTGGTCAACCACAAAAGAAGTGCTTGTGAAGGTCAAAACATCTGGGATCAGGTCCAGTTGTGCAGTGGTGGGTCACACAAATTCACAGGAAGGGACCCGATCACCCAACATTGACACCCAACATGAATGATAGCAGATCCCACCAACAAAGATTCAACATCTAATGGGAAGCCTTCCCAGAAGATTGGAGGCTATTTTAGCTGACCAGCTTCATATTAATACCCTTTGTTTCAGAATGAGATGTTGGAAAAGCTGGTGTCTGCATAATTTTGGTCATTTAGTGTATATTTTACAGTGTTTGTTTCTTGTAAGATGGCTCATAGCATGATCTGACATCTGCCGGCCAACAGATCAGACCTCTATCTCCGGTTGTTTCAGTGTTAGGCTTTTCATTGTGCAAAGCCCTGTGGTGTAGTTTGTTCATCAGGGAATCCCCGTCAAACAACGGCTACACGCTAGCTGGTCAATAAATTCGTTTATGCAGTTCCGCGCCGTTCCCGCGGGGGCTGGATGCTTCCTTTGTTTCTGCCAGCTTAGTATTTTTTGAACGCCTGCCCAGAACACACAGAGATGCCCTGATGTCCGATTGACGTTCATTTCATTGTGTGACGTCCAGGTTTCAGAATGTGTCTCGAACCCGCTTCCCGCTGCAAATATCCGTGGTCTGTACCACCGAGATCCTTCCGAATCCCTCTTAGTTTCACGCCATAAACCATTCTGAAGCAAAGACGCCCAGTTCCACACAAAATAGGGACGCTGCGGATCTCCCCCCCACCCGAAAACCCCAAAACAGTGTTTTGAAAGACCAGTTTTGAACTTGGCAATTAAATCTAAATCTTTCCCCTCCTCAGAAGAACATCGTGCCCCCCCGCAAATCCACCACACCCTTTGTGTGCTCTTCTCCTAAATTACCACCCTGGAGTCGTGCAGCAGAGAGATCATGTGGCAAACAAGGGCAAGTTCTCTTTATATATATATCAATGCCAGCAAGCCTCTGTCCTTTGGCACTAACTGCGCTAAAGTGCCGTGCAACGAAAGCCGTCAAGATCACCACAGCTGATTCTTAGGGGGTCTAGATCAGCTTCCCTGGGCCTGTATCTGGCAGACTGAACCCTGGGGTGAGGGAACACCCTGCTGTTTGACAGGGCGAGGTGGGTCCCAGCATGGGCTGCAGTTATCTTGCGTATACAGGGATTTTGGGTGCTCCTGCACACTTTTGGGGTTATGGGCCGTGCTTAAGCACCCAATGTTTTAAATCACTGCCAATTACGGGATTTGAACCAGCAACCTCCCACTCACAGACAGGGTCCTAACCCGCTGAGCCACCCACCACCTCGAATGGATTTAAATGATCCGCATTGACTTTTCCTGCTAAGACTTCAGACGCTTGGCTTCTCTATCCATATGGGGTCACGCAGCATTTCCCACAACCACTTCAGTAAGGAAGAAACCCCCACCCTTACGTAACGCACTCGCGCACCTGTTTCTCCCTCAGGGCTCCTAATGAGGGCTGAGCCGCTGCATAAATTAGTGACCCCCCTATGTGCTTGTCAGTGATAGTGTTGCGTCGCCGGGTGACTTTGGTACGGCTTGAGGAGACGACACCAGCTGAGAGTGTGGGGGGGAGGCGGACCTGGCGGGAGGTCGGGGGGGCCCTCCTCTGGGCAGACAGCCCTGCCGCTCGGGTTAGTGGGCCCAGTTCCTGGCCTGGCACCTCGGTTCCTGGCCTGGCACCTACCCCAGACGCCTTTAGCTTGGCAGGACTCTCCCACTGCCTCCTTGGGGCTGCAATACCGGCGACCCTGTCAGCTCAAATCGGCCTTAACGAGCAGTGCGCCATTTCAATCAGGAAGGAGACGAGGCTCCCGGTGCGGATGCCAACCCCCCACCTCCTCTGTCACCTCCCCCCCTCTCTCCTTTCCTCTATCAGTTACAGGTGGCCTTTGTTCTCAGTCAGACATCTGCCACCACAGTGCACGTCTTTCCTCCTTTCCACTGTAGAAGGTTGCGGAAAAGGAATCGGGGAGGGGGGGGTTTCCTAGGCAATGAGACGGGCAAGGCAGACAAACCCATTAGTCATAAATAATCCTTTCTGATTGGATTTTCTGCCATGTCTACCAAAGTCTGTGTCCTTGCCACAAATGAGTAACAGACCCATATTTTTGCCTCCCTAAATGAATTCAAGAAATGTGATATTCTGGTCACTGATTTATTCAACAGCAGAGAGATTAATTATTGTCGGTGTGAAGATGTCATCTCAGAGATCCCGTGGAAATGAGGTCTGAAAAGTACAGAAAATATATAAATTAAAACTGCATCTTGCTATGTATTAAATGAGCCAGTTATGTACTTGTTAAAAAAATGTTTACTTCTCCTCAAATTCAACCTTTACAAAAAGCTGCACCAAGCATCCATCTTCTGAATACTTATCCAGTGCTGGGTCGCAAAAAGCCTGTGGCTCTTGGATGTGAAGGAGCCTCGGGTAAAAATAAGAGGCGATTAGAGTCATTCCGAGGATGGGGGGGGGTTTGCTTCTCTGCCAATCATCCTCACTGCCCCAACGTGTCTCAATTGCTCGGGTCTGTCCTGCACACTTGCTCTCTGTAAACATTGACAGCTTGAGTAGCTTATGAAGGGCTGGATGTGAGTGTGAGCGCCATGGTAACTGGAATGTTATTGTTTAAACCTCCCCGCCCACTCAGACAGCGCAAGTCTATCCCCACACAGACACCGTGAATGAGTAGGATTTTTGGCTGTGGGTGCGCTTTCCCATGGTGCACCGTGCCGCCATCTTGGCTCAGGGCCAGAGCTTGGACAGCGGCAAGCATGCAGAAGATCGTAGGTTGTAGGTTGACGTCCCACTCAGGAGCCCCACTGCTTATGACCTTGAAGAGGGCACTGAAGGTCATTTCACACCGATCCCGGCAGGAATTTGTGAGATATTCAGATGCAAATTTGATGGACCAAAAACGCTCGCACCAAACAACTGATCAAGAGAAGCTGGCAACACAGAAAGAAATGGCCAAACTACCAACAAGCCCTGGAAGCAGTGATACGTTTTTTTCTTGTTTATTTTCAGCACATGTGAAAAGAAAAAGGCAAATATATTGAATACATCAAATTTTTTAAATGCTTAAACTTTACAGAGTCCGTTTCAGACAGTCAAAAAGAGCTTTGTATGCATCACTATATTATCAGTTAACTACAGGAGTGCAGTCCAGAAAGCCGGTTTGCACAGTGCTTCTGCATCAGCAAAATTAATATTAAGAACATAGCGGCAACATCACCTATAATCAGTTAATTAAATACAGGAATAGAGAAAACGGAGCTTATTGATTTTTTTAACTGGGTTTTTATTAGATATTGATAGTATAGGAATAGGTCTATAAATCAAGCAAAAAACAAATTAATAAATCACTTAGAGTCTATTATAATCCAATAGGCATATTGCGAAACCTTAGAAAATAACCAACATAAACACAAACAAGCAGAACAGCTGCAGACAGCCTAACATGCCCCTTGTCATCCAATAAGACGGAGTAGTACAGATGCTTTCGATCTGCATTTTGAGAAGCATTTTTGAGAAGTTGCCCAGACACTATAGGAAAATGGAATGATCAATCCACGGGCAAATGCCCACCCCCCATTTGGCGGTTCTAACTTATCGTCAGGGTTGGACCTGCACTGAGTATCCCTATCTGCAATACCGACCTTGGATCGAAAAAAAAGGCTGTGCCATCACCCATCATTACAGGCTAGTGCTGGAAACCAAACGGAGGGCTTCCTTCCTGTTAAAAAATAACCTGATCCAAAGTGTAGAAACGGACATCCTGTTGCTCGTCTGTTTTATTAATGTATATGAAACCTGCAGAAGTCGAGCTCCATCCAAATAATAAAAAAAAAGGCAGGTCACCATAACGAAAATTTGCCTAGCTTTGTGTAGCCTTGTGGTGCATCACAGTCTTTTTGCATACACTGCGGGATGGGAATTGTGTGTGTGTGTGTGTGTTGATTAGCTTTATATTAGATTGTTTTTTGTAACCTGATTTTGTGACATTGTGGGGACCATGTTATTCAGGTCCCCACAACGATCTGTGAATGCAACCAAAAAAGTAAAAATGCCAAAAGTCTCGTATTTTGTTTGGTTACTTATGGTTAAGCTTAGAGCTGGGTAAGGGTTAAGGTTGCCATGTTGGGATTAGAGTTTTCCCCATAGAAATTAATGGGGAGTCCCCACAAAGGTATAATTACAAACCTGTGTGTGTGTGTGTCTGTGTGTGTTACATGTAGCCAGACTTTGGCGTGTCTGTGCCTGTGATCAGCTCGTCTGCTCAGCTCTACGGCGCCCCCCAGTGCACTCCAGATTTTTGCCTAATAAATATCAGCAATTTAACAGCACCGTCTGTTCCCTCCAAGGACAAAGGGGGAGGGGGGCCCTAAGAAACCCTGACGGATATGAGACCCACAGTCGGTTGCTGGCTGGCACATTATAGCTGGTGGCTGCCCTGTTCTGTATCTGATGGGACCCCCCCATGCCCCCCGAGTTCGATCCCATGCTTGATGTACATCTCCGCCACCCACCGCGCTGTGCAGAGAGGTGGGGAATTGCTGTGAAGCACCCAGGAGCGTGTATGCCCGTTGACAGGCATCACCCATGACAACCCGCCCCCCCAGTCAATCACACACCCCCGCGTTTCCCTGGCCTCAGCGTGGTGGACGGGGAGGGGTATGTTAAACGGCAATTCCCCCCAAATACAACATTACCCTAAGCACCAGATGATTTTATACATATTCATAGGAAATCAGGGAAAACACACATGAAAGCCTCCCCCCTCTCCAAAATCACTGGGGGGGCGGCTCTTTTAATCTGTCGTTCAGGCAGAAGGTTAACTGGAGTGTAGCCGGTGCGTGGACCGGCTGCCGTGGGCTGTGATCTGTGGGTCAGCCGGTGCCCGTTTTCACAGTGAGGTGTGGTGCCCGCCCCCCATCTGCGGCCAGTCCGCACCCCCTCGGGGTGTGTGTGTGTGTGGGGGGGGGGGCTGTCACCAGCGGCTTCCCTCATCTGCCTTAAAGCCCCTTTGCAGATGCTGGAGGCTCAGAGTGCACAGCGGGTGTCTCGGCGCAGAGCGGGCAGGGCGGGGAGAAACCCCAACATCCCATTGGTGGGCAGATCTGAACATCCCATTGGCCGGCAGGCCGCCTCCCATTCTCCCAGCATACCCCAGCTTCTCTCCTGACTGGCAGCTCCTGGGCAGCGTCTCTGCTCTCCTACCGCTTCCACGCCTCTCATCCTCCGCCGCTGATCGCTTCCCTCCTCCATCTTTCCCTGCTGCTTCACTCTGGCTCGCCACCGTCACTCTCTCTCTCTCTCTCTCTCTCTCTCTCTCTCTCTCTGCCCTCCATCCACACCAGCGCCCCCCCCCTTCTCCTCACGCTTAGCGAAGGCCCCAGCTGGCCCAGTTTGCACTGGCCAATTTATTTGTGTCGCTTCAGATTTTCGGGGCGCGAGGAAAGCTCCAGTTTGGCCAGATAGCGGATGAGGAGCGTGGCTGCACCCGCAGATAACGGGCCCCCCACCCCAAGGAGTGTGTGTGTGCGGCAGGGGGGGGGACTCCACTGGCTCTGAGACTCATCTCAGATGCACCAGGATGCTAGAGGGGGGGTGGGCTCTGTTTGACGGGGCTTAATTAGCGCCGTAGCAGAGCGGCGGGTGCCATTGCGGCGGATTGTTGTCATTTGAGCGGATTAAAATACGCCTCGTACAGTAAAGCTCCCTCTCATCATTCCGGCAGAGTCATACGTCCGAGGGAAGCGACATTGCAGTACATGGGCGCATGGTCCGGGTAGGGAGCAGGATCTAGGTGTACCCATAATCCCTCTCCCCCTTCACAGACACAGAGGGCTGCGAACACAACTGGAGGAAGTTCCACGGCCACTGTTACCGCGCCTTCAGCCACCGGCACACCTGGGAGGATGCCGAGAAGGACTGCCGGGAACACCGCGGCCACCTGGTCAGCATCCACTCGCCGGAAGAGCAGGACTTCGTCAACGGTGAGCCGCCTGCAGGGGGCGCCATAGCGCACCGCGCGCCACCACTGCCTGGAACCCGGCCAAGGAGAGCGCAGAGGCGACCGCTGCTAAGCGAGGCCACAAATCTCCATTGTCTTCACGGGAATCAGTTGCCGGCGGTGCTAACAGGAGACGGCTCGTTTAACTAAGAGTGAGACAAATTAGCCCAGGAAGAACACTGTCCCTGTAACTTCCTCTCAGTTTAATACAAAGGAAAAACCACAGACTCTAAATAATCCTTAGGAATTGAAACAGGACTCCAAACATCTTTAAGAGGGTTTAAATCCCCCATCTTTTATCTGGCTCTTCTGCTTACATAAGAACATAAGAACATAAGAACTATACAAACGAGAGGAGGCCATTCGGCCCATCGAGCTCGCTTGGGGAGAACTTAACTAATAGCTCAGAGTTGTTAA